TACAAATCCTGCTTCCCTTCATTTTTCAAAACTCCAACTAACAAAGTGAATGCAATACTTTAGCCATAAGCTGGAATGTGTCCGGGCACATGAAAAGGTGTTCTGTTAGGTCGCCTAGCACGGTTCGGGCGGAGGAGCAATTTCACAGGGGAAGGGAAGGGAAGGGAAGGGAGGAGGCATGGAGGAGAAAAGGATTTGCGTTTAAAAGTTAAGTGCATACCTAAAAATGCGGCACCGACTATGTATCCTTGAGTTTCCACGGACCATTCGTATGAACCCTAAATCCATAGGTTATCGGTTTATTCCTGGAGCGTTGACTCGAAATCAGTTACTCACCCCGTAATCCATAACCTTCGCTCCTTTGACTCGTGTGCAAGCTCCAGCAGTAGCGTTGTTGTACAGTAGGCTATCATCTAACGGGCCTTCGTCCCTGAAAAGATCCAATAGAGGACTTACTCATTAGTAAATGGCATAATGGCCTTCGTTTATGTAAGAAAGACGAGTGAGAGCCTCTTTTTCTAATACAAAGATGAACAGGGAAGAGCAGTAATCATACGTCCTGCTTACAACAATTATTGAAGGCAAGACAATCATAACAAGCCTGAGTACAAGTAACACGTCCAGTTTATAGTTATTGATTGAGTAAAGGTACGAGAGAGAGAGAGCATCCAGGCTTCAGTTACTACTATTACCTGTACTAATACACTAATAGCCAGACTCAAGGATCTAAGGCGTAAACAGACCACGCTTACTTACTTGATCTGTTAAAATTAGTTAGAAATAAAAGGCACTACAAGTCCGAGCACGGTCAGGGTAATATCGATAAATACCTCCTTCAGCAGGTTCTTTTGATGAGTACTACTGCTAGCGGTGAAATTGAAAGCTTATCTATGGGTACCTTATAAAGGTGAGGTCATACAAGGGGAGATTATTGGTTAGACGTGATATTCTTCATAGCAAAACACAAAAACTTTTTGTTATGTTCAATACAAACTTCAAGCTTTCTTCGTTCTCAGCCTCCAAAGCGAGTGCAGTCGAATTGATCATGCAGTTCAGCGTGATCCCTGTAGAAATTTAAAATTTACTTCAAATTTCAGAAAAGGTTTTAATACGATTAATGTTGAACATAAGTAGCGCTGTCAATGAGAAATTTTGAAGCTGAAAGGTTGAAAAAAAATTGAAAAAAATAAATTTATTGGTGAGCACCATCGAACAACAAAAACGGAGAGCTTTCTAGTTTTTTTTGAGCCCGAGAAGTGTTTGCGAAATTTGTGAAAAGGGCACTGGAACCAATAATCCTGAAAGAGTTCTCTTGACTTTCACTAGCTGTTCTTGTCCCCACACTTCTTCTTACGCTCTTCATTTTTGGCTTTTTTTTTAAAGAATTTTCATGAAACGATCTTCATAATTTGTAATCAAAACGATTTCATCTCGACGGTGATTAACTGGAGCTTGATGGCTCCAGATATTACGCTACAGTAGGCTTTTCATGAGGACGTACCTATGTTCGATGTCATCACGGCCATAGAGAAGTAGCCGATCATTAGAAGAATAATCACATGGAAACGACGACTTTGGTGATGGAGGAAAGCTGAATGATAGTTATTCAGCTTGGAATTAAACCTCGATCTGAAAGTTTCGGCTATGAACTCACGATGATGTTTCACATCCGTCGTCGTCCCAGTCATTCCCCAAAAGTGCTAGCCTCTCAAATGAACCACTCTGAAAGAGAAAAATTCAACTTTTCATGAACCAGAGACCACAGGCGACAAAAAGAAGACGAGTACTCGATTGCTAGGATGAAAAAAAGAATAAGAGAGAGGATTGTTGCGTGATTAGCACTATGACAAAAAGGAAACCCCCAAAGAACAGAGCACTGTAGACTGATAGTGGGCAACGACTGCACCTGATCTGCCTCGACAGTACGCTGGGACTTGATTTCAGTTTACTCTTCACCTCATACACACATTACCCTGAATACAAATCATTTCCGATTCGATACCTCTATAATATAGTAACATACTGTTGAAACGGTTGGGGTAGGACTATCACACGGGCATGGTTATGCATTGGAATCCCGGATCGATATCCGCCTCACAACAAAGCCTTCCATCCCTCCGGAGTCGGATAATTAGTACCAGAGACTTGTCTGGGAGGATGAAAGCACTGGTTTGTACATCGGCTGGCCACCGCAATCATTGTATAGGCCACATACGCATTCCAATATCCACTACGATTCTGAATAGAAGTCGAGTGCGGGGGGCATCCGAAAAAAGCTGATCGACGTCAAAAACTTTATTCCTTATTATACTTCTACATACTAAGATTCCTCGAAAAAAACGAGACTAATCATAATTTCACAAGTACTGTAAGCTCGGAACTTTCTGGAATGCTTCCCTTTCCTGTGTATATTATTGCAAATGTCGAAGTGAATTGGATACGAAAAATTATTTTTGCGATAATGTAGTCACAGAAGTTCTGTCCTTAAACACATGGGATCGTTGAAGGCAGGGCTGACCCAACATATGCGAGGGTTAAGAAATCGAGGATGGAAGCCCCGTCACTCTCCCCTCACCCACTCGACACTTCCATTCAGAATCGTCGTAGTGGCTTTTCGATAGCGTACTGGCTTATGCAGTCTTCACGTACGGCACTCGATAAGCCTACTACTACTGCAGTTACTCTAT